GGGCGAAGGGGAGGGTGCTCACCCCACTCCGGTGGGAGGAGTGTCAAGGTTACGTTGCAAGAACGTTATGTGGGATGGGAGGTGTTGTCCTGGCCATCCTGGGAAAAGCATCCTGCAACAGTCCACAACATTTTTTTTTTATATATTTATTTGAAAGAGAGAGGGGTCGGGGAGAGGGAGAGGTGTGTTTTCCCTCCACTGGTTCACTCCCCGAATGGCTGCAGTGGCCAAGTCTGGGCCAGGTCAAAGCCTGGAGCTTCATCTAGATCTCCCTTGTGGTTGCAGGGCCCCAGCACCTGGGCCATCCGCTGCTTTCCCAGGCATATCAGCAGGGAGCTGGATCAGAAGTGGAACAGCTGGGACCTGAATTGGTGCCAGTAAGGGATGCTGGCGCTGCAGACAGCAGCTGAACCCTCTGTGCCACAGCACTGGCCCCAATCCACAACATTTTGCATAGTGGGCATATCACATGAACTCAGTACTTCCTGTGTGAATGAGTGTTAAGTACCTGGAGTACTGACGTGAATGAGGACTAGATCCAGTCCCAGATGTGAACAGATTACTCCAGGGTATGCAGAGATGCATGTCTTACTCCTGCTCCCAGCATGGACGGTCTGTGTGCTTACATAAGCCTAAGCCGCTTATGTCAGCACAGGGTGTGTTTCCATGTTCATCAGGTGGGATGCCTGTTGTCTTTGGGCTGTGGCCTATTCTACATGCAGCAGCGAGCTAGAGCTTTACAGTGATCAGCCGCGGATAGGCTTGGGCATATATTTCCCGTGGCTGGTGGCCCGTGTATGGACATCAAGATGGGCCGTCTGCCTAGATCCAGGTAGGCAGTCGCTGCACAGCTGTGTGTCACAGTGGGAAGCATCTGCAGCAGAGCCAGAATGGTGAGCGTCTCTAACTGTATCCACATTGAGCCTCACCTCCGAATGCTGTCATTACCTGTTAACCAGTGTGGTGGGAAAGGCAACACTGGCCTGTCCTGCAAATGTACAGGTGTTTCAGGTGACTGAGAACAAACTGAGAATATCTATTTAGTTTAATAGGAATACAGCTCAATAATTGCTTTACTTTTATATTTATAAAAAGATTTACTTATTAACTGAAAGGCAAAAAGAGGAGAGAGGTCGATCTTCCATTGCTGGTTCATTCCCCAAATGGCCACAACGGCTGGGCTGGGCTGAAGTCAGGAGCTTCCTCAAGGTCTCCCACGTGGTTAGCAGGGCCCAGTACTTGAGCCCTCTTCCACTGCTCATTAGCGAGGAGCTGGATTAGAAGGGGAGCAGCCGGGACTTGAACCAGTGCCAGCCCCCTTAAATTTGATTCCTTCATGTTATACCAGAAAGTGATTTTTCCTTAATGAAAGATTATTATATTGTGGGCCGGCGCCGTGGCTCACTAGGCTAATCCTCTGCCTAGCGGTGCCGGCACACCGGGTTCTAGTCCCGGTTGGGGCGCCGGATTCTGTCCCGGTTGCCCCTCTTCCAGGCCAGCCCTCTGCTGTGGCCAGGGAGTGCAGTGGAGGATGGCCCAGGTGCTTGGGCCCTGCACCCCATGGGAGACCAAGAAAAGCTCCTGGCTCCTGCCATCGGATCAGCGCGGTGCGCCGGCCGCGGCGGCCATTGGAGGGTGAACCAACGGCAAAAGGAAGACCTTTCTCTCTGTCTCTCTCTCTCTCACTGTCCACTCTGCCTGTCAAAAAATAAATAAATAAATAAATAAATAAAAAAAGATTGTTATTGTTATATTGTGATTTTATTTTTAAGAGTGAATATTTTAACTCCCCCCCCCCAGTGGAACACATCTCTGACTTCATGAGGAAAACAGTACTTATTTATGACAATGTAGGCTAAAATGCTTCTCTTTTATAGAGTGACTTTAAGGTATCTTTTTCCCTCTAAGAAAGTACATATTTACTTCCGTGGAAGGAGAAAGTGTGATTACATAAGCTTTTCAGATATAAAAAGTAACACTGTAGGCCTCCAATGTATACTCTGACCCCTGAAATTCCTAAAGCTAAAAATATTGTAGTCAGATCATCTTACAGAGTCATCTGTAACCCCACTGTGGCCGTTTTCTGCTTGTTCAACATGAGAAGAAATAGCGGTCGATGGGATTTCAGTCCTCTGCTGATGCTGTTAAAACCGCAGAATAGAAGGCTCCCCGGCGGTTGGGAGTCATTGCCCCAGGTGTGGTGGATGCTGGTGCTGACACCCCAGGGGCTCACTAGTGCAGGCAGCAGCCAGTCAGCATTAGCTTAGCTGTTACTGAGATTACAGGCCCCTGGGCAGCTGCTCACCCCGCAGAGACGAACACCATCTTTGGCAACATCTCTGACAGTTAACAAATACTGCCTGCACTAGTGAGCGGTGCTTCCTCCGAGAAGTCTATGCAGCTGCCAGAGCAAGCGGAGAAGCGGGACACCATGGACAGCGCCATGGACCGTCTTCCTTGTGCGGCCAGGGGAGTGGCCTGCTCACTCCGTGCCACACCCTCTTTGATCCTTCAGATAAGGGTCCCGCTCTCCTGACACATCTCCTGAGTTGATTTTGATGCACCAATGATACAACAGCAATTAAAAAAAAAATCTTTACCAGATCAGGTTCTGCTAACCTTAGACTTGAACCACACTGGGGCTTCTTACAGTGCCTGTCTGGGACTCCCTGCTGCGGTCCCTCTGCTGTCGGGAGGGCTGTGGCAGTTGCTCCCTATTCTCAACACCAGGTAAAAACTGCAGCAGCTCAGAGCACCTGGGCTGTCTTTTCTGTAAATAGCATCTGAAGCGTGTTCTTCCGAGGCAGATCCAAGACCCCGCTCGTGCACTGCCCTGCCGGCTTGTGGTCTAACAGTGCTGCTAAGGCAGGTCATGAAGACATGGCCGCCCTGCACACTCACGGACAGGAGCAGCGTGTGCACTCCTTGGCTTTTTCCTGGTTTAACTGAAACGATGTCCCCCTTTCTGAGCCTTGTGTGTTTCAGACTGTGGTGAGGGTCAGGAGTGCTTGTCCCGGAAGTAGCCGTAGTACCTGTGTCCTCCCAGTGCTCTCGGGCAGAAGTTGCTTTTTAAAACTTGGGCCCAGCTTTGGCGCTTGAAGCAGGCTTGCTGGCATGAGACTGACTAGCAGCAGCAGGGGTAGAGCATCCTGTCTGTCTCACTTGGATTCTGCCCTGGGGACTCACAATCTGTCTTCCCAGCAGCACCACATGCCCTGTCACCACTCAGCGAGTGAGAACGAACAGAAGAGCTGTCCCGGCCACCCATTACGCACCGGGGGCCTTGATGAAGACCTTTGTGCTGGGAGAGGGGGCAAGCAGCTTCCCTGTAGGCACAGGGATTCGCAAGGATGAGGCCCCGTTAATTCGACAACAACTAGATAACCTACTTGGGAATCTGATTAGCATCTTCCAGATTTTCCACATGGAAGACAAAGCCAGCAGAGTGTGAAAGCCTAATTTTGTGTTTATTAACACTATGACTCTGCTTTTTAAACTGCTGGGACTCTGCCAGGGAGGACTTGGAAGGGACAGAGCTCTGCTCTGCTGTAGGAAAGGATGTTGTCCTCTAACGGTTTCTGCCCTTTTGGCATCTTATCCAACACACACCTAAACCTCTTCATGGTGCAGTTTTCCCTGTGGCATTACAGTCCCCAAAAAGGGGTAAGGAAGCTTCCTGCAAAGACTTGGGCGCTGCTGGCACCAGCACTCTTTGAGTGTCTGTCTGGAAGGGATGGATTTGGGCAGTGTCCCACAGCACCCACCTCTGCAGCAGCCGCACACCCCACCCCAGAACTGCTCAATCAGAAACTTGGGGGTGGGCCCAGCAATCCCTCCAGGGACAATGTCGTCATTGTCTTGACAATTTTCTTTTAAAAATTATCTTAAAATGATCTAGGAAGGTGTATGTCTGTACAGAGACCTGTACATGAACCCTCACGGCAGCTTTTGTTGGAGGAGCAACACTGTGTGTTGACAGGTGAACGGATAAGCAAGATGTGGTCTATGTTGAATGGGGACAAAGGAATGGGTTTTAAAGGAACAGGAGGAGATTTTAAGGGGTGATGGCTATGTTCATTATTAGAAGAGCATGGTGTCTTTATAAAAGGCTATTTCAAAAAGTTCATGGGAAGATGGAGTGAACATGTGTATTCTGGTGCAAAAAAGTTTTGAAATCCTGCATACTGTTTTCATGTCATGCATTTTTCCATGAACTTTTTAAAGACTGCTCATTTTGATGTCAGAATTCATCAAGCTGCACATGTGACCAAGCTGTATGTCAGTTTGTACATTGTTACAGCTGGCAGAAAGTAAAAACCTAAGTGTGGTGGCTACCTGGGCAGGGCGAGAGAGGAAGGCCTGTAATGACGTCTCCCGGGTGTTCACCATATTCCTACACAGATGAATTAAGAGGGCTGGGGTGGAAGACAAAGCGGAGTGGAGAAAGTGTCAGATTGTTCTGCGCACTGACACCAGTCATGGCTGTAGCAGCACCTGTAGTGTTGCTGTTCCTGAAGTGTCCCGACACGCAGGTACAGAGACGCCACGCCCACAGCTGCTGACTCACTTCTTTCCTGGTACAAGACAACACCTGCCGCCTTTGCCGCTTAGCCTCTCTACCCACTGTGCTATCTGGCCCAGTCCCTCCCCTGGCTGGTTGACTATGGGTACAGGAAGAGGCTGCAGCTCATTTTTCCATGTCTCACAGGAACCGCGAGCATCCTGCAGCACCTTACGTTGCATCACTATGCTGTGGTCTCTGAGTCACCGCCTTTAAAAAAATTGTTATTGCCAAAACTGTATTTAACATGGTTTATGTAACGAAAAGCTGAGACTTAGGTGGACATTTCTTGCTGGCACATTCTTTAGATGTGCATACGAACTGTTTAGCTGACCTCGTATTTCCTAGTTTTCTTCCAGCCTGATTTAGCAGTGAACACCTGGGATCAGTTCTTTTGAACTCCCTGACCAGCTCTGCCCACACTTCCTTGTCTTCCTAGATCTGAGACTTGCTGTGTCCTCCGTAACCGGCACTGCTCACTGAGGACTTTCTAGATCCAGACCAAGGGCCAGAGTGTTCACCGGATACCTCAGCAAGTGAGTAGCCCCTGTACCCCTTCTCCGTGGCACCCGGGGGCGGTGGTCTCCACGTGACTTGGCAGTGAGGGGAACAGGGATTTCCTTTTCTGTTGTTGCTAATACACACAGGTGGGTTAACTGCTAAATACATCTTAATTCTAACTCATGGAAGGCCAGTGGGATTTGTTCTGGATTTAGAATTAGAGGAAGGCAAAGTTCTCATTTAGCTACACGTAGGCTCAGGTCAGATCCTCATTTATCTTAATTTTAAGATCCTGGCCCTTTCAAATGGTCTGGGTACAGGGACGCTGCCCAAATCCATCCCTTCCAGACTGTACCCATGGCGGTGCCACAGCACAAATGTGACCTAGCTTCTCTGCAGCTGACCCAGTTCCCTTTTCAATGCAGAAGGGCAATTCATTGAATCTGTTACCTGGTGTTTGATCATTTTTAATACCTTTTTAAGTAAGCTCTCTGGGTCTAGAATGAGTTTTAGGGGAACATCAGAATTTTTCTGATCAGAGACCACCTGCCCTGAGTAAGAGCCAAGCCCCTGCGACGTTTCTTTCCTTTTCCAAAAACAGCAGATGATTTCCGCTTGGAGCTCTTTTGCTTTTTAATAGTCACCAGAGAGGCAAGTTCTACGCTGATTGTACACGCTGGCTTCCTAGGCTGTCTGCATCCTTGGAAGGATGTCCTCTGTGAGACTGCCTCCTTCCCATTTGACAAACCCCACAGAAGGCTGTGATGAATCACTGCCATTTACAGCTCTGACACATACCTGTGTTTTGCAGGAAGGAGGCTGTAACTTCGGATTCCTTCGTGAAGGAAAACCACACACTCTGGTCTTGGCCCCGCCGACGATGCAAGTGTGACTGCTGGCATCTTCATGAGCTCCAGAGGTCACAGCACGCTACCGCGGACTCTCATGGCTCCTCGGATGATTTCCGAGGGCGACACAGGAGGCATTGCTCAGATTACCTCCTCTCTCTTCCTGGGCAGAGGCAGTGTGGCCTCCAACCGGCACTTCCTCCAGGCTCGTGGCATCACCTGCATCGTCAATGCAACCATCGAGATCCCCAATTTCAACTGGCCCCAATTTGAATATGTTAAAGTGCCTCTGGCTGACATGCCTCACGCCCCCATTGGACTGTACTTTGACTCCGTGGCTGACAAGATCCACAGTGTGAGCCGGAAGCATGGGGCCACGTTGGTGCACTGTGCCGCAGGGGTGAGCCGCTCGGCCACCCTGTGCATCGCTTACCTGATGAAATTCCACAACGTGTGCCTGCTGGAGGCGTACAACTGGGTGAAGGCCCGGAGACCTGTCATCAGGCCCAACGTAGGCTTCTGGCGGCAGCTGATAGACTACGAGCGCCAGCTCTTTGGGAAGTCGACAGTTAAAATGGTACAGACACCTTATGGCATAGTGCCAGACGTTTATGAGAAAGAGTCCCGCCACCTGATGCCTTACTGGGGGATTTGATGCCACCACAGCCCCATGAGCAGTACCAGCATCTGCTACACACCATCTGCTCTCCTCATCATCTTTCCTTTCAAATGGTTGACTTTTGGTTCTCCCTCCAGTGTTTCTACACTATAGGTGTTCAGGTTTATTTTAAGAGACAGGGAAGGGTGGGAATAAGGGGAATGCATTCATTGCTAGTAACATTTTTAAAACTAGCATTTTGGAATAGCCTTTATGAAAATCTTTAACTGGCTTTTAATCATTTTTAACAATTTAAACAGTTTAACAAACTGGTTCTGCTCTACCCTGAATTTCATACCTTTTGGCACCATGGCAGGTGCAGGAGGAGCTCAGTGCAAAAATCACTTTGGGTCCTGATTAACCCTTTAGAGACAAGCTTTGCCCAAGGCTGCAGACCAGACAAATGCTTAGGGAAGATTAATACCAGCTGCTGTCTCTACTGGATTAGTCCTCTTCTATACTTTCACCTCTATGATTTAGTGACTCTGTAAGTTAAAATAAATAAGCCTTTATTATTTAGTTGTTAAGTAATTACAATGAAGTCTGCTACAAAGATCCTCTTGGAACCAATGTGCCCCAGGATTATATTAGCATTATTTTTAATAAATATATCTGCTTACCATACTAGGATTTTTGCTAATTAAGATTCTTTCCAGTAACTGTGACATTTGATAATGGCTCTGGGGACAATTATGAATGCTACTTAAACTAGATACCACAGCTGCACCACGTCGACATTTCACATTCTTGCTGGTACTAGTACAGAGCATACCCCCTGAAAAAACACCCTGCCTTCCGTTCTCTCGGTAAGTGGAGTGCACTGAAGCAGTGAGTCCACCCATCACAGCAATCTGTTTTTAACACCAGGGGTGCCCCTGCTTGACCACGTACACACCCCCAAGTGCCCTACACCACACCTCACTGTAAGTGATAAGCAGATAACAACAGTGGCTGGTCAGTGGTGGGACGACACCCAGTTCCCTGCCCATTCAACTTGGCAGCCTGACCCACCGGGGCGGGGCAGACACTGAGTGAGCCTCGTCTCTACTCCGCGTTCCTAGGAAACCACAGCGAGTTTGTTTCTGGGTAAGAGAGCCACTTGGAAGTCTCTCCATACAGTTGGTAACAGCAGTTCCAAGGCTGTAGATTGCTTACTCACAGAATCGCTTTCTAGCCTTTCTGGTCTGTTTGGCAGGAAGCCGTAATACACCAGTAGCTCCATACTTAAATTGTGTCTTCCAGATTCTACCTGATCCACAGCAATGGTTTTCCATCTGGACTCTACCTTTTCTTGCGTTATACCATTTGCCTACTTTTAAAAGCATGCTTCATTATTGTCTAAGTAGGAAAAATGAAATGAAATTGATAACAGTGTCCATGGGAAATCAGAAGAACCAACAAACGCAACATCAGCACATGATCCAAACAGTCCAGAGACTGACTTCATTAGTATGAAGCCAGCCGTTTACATCTGTAGTCTGAGTGACAACCTGAGGATAATCATTGTACTACATGAGAAGACACCTGGTGATGGGTGTTCTTGATTATTAAAGAATTTCCTGTGGAAATCCTGGCACTGGGTGTTCTTAGCATCTGGGAAGCCTCACACCGTGCTTTGGCCCCTGTTCCTCTTAGTGACTTGCATCTGTCTGAACTCTTAACTAAGAAAAGAGAAAGTCTAGAAGCATGACATTCTTCTATCTACACTTGTTTTACTGCTAGTAGAATTCAGTAAGTGGTTATTGCAGAAAAGACCCCGAAAATATCATAGAGGTCAAGCTTTATAATGTCTAAACATGTAAAGTAGAGCTATTTATTAAAACGCAAACAAAGGACAAAAGCTACAGCATCTTAAAATACAGGACCAAGTTGCACATCACACAGGGTAACCCATTTCACTGTGGCCCACAGCACGCACTGCTTAATACAGCCACAGTTACAAAACAGCTGTCACACAGGATACGTGTACACTATATTCACATCAGCATACAAGTAATGGAAGTAAGTCAACATTTTTCAAAATGAGAGGTTCTTAGAAAAGTAACGTGTAAAGTGGCATTTTTCACACGCGAGAGCTTAAGTGAGCTTGATCTCCTCACCCTAAGTTTGCAAGGAGAGGGCTGTCTGACATCGTTACTCAGTACACACTTTCCCACAGACAGACTAACCTGTGCACAAAGCAGCACAGGCCCACCAAAGCCGCCCTGCGTGCCGACGTCGGCTGGAACGACCTGCAGCAGGCTGTAGCGCTCCCTCCTCAGAAATGCCAGTGTTATCAGCTCCTCACAAAGGAAGCTGGCCTCCAGGGGCCAGGGGGAATTTCCGCAGTGGTCCCCCAAAGCATAGCAAGCATTTCAAGGCAGGCCTTTCTCTTGACAGCCCCTAGAATCCTCACAGCTAAGAACACACTTAGAAAACAGGCAAGCAGATGATATCTTTAAACAACTAAGACTTAACAAAAAAAATAGTATACGCAAACAAAATATTTAAATAATTTAAAATACGCAAAACCATATGAAAGGTTAGCCAGCAGCCACAGGAAAAATCTGACGTGAATCATATGCCGGTGCACCTGTGCTTCTGTCTCAAGCATGTCCAGACAAAAATCAAATTACTTATCAACCCATAAAAATTTTAAGGGCAAAGCATAATACCAAAAAAGAAAAGTGCTTGTGACTCGCCATTCAAGCACAGAGGTGAAGCCGCCTGACACACACAGGGTGTGGAGGGAGTAACCTTGGTTACCGTTTCCAAGGACACTGGGCTCACGAGGGAAGAGATGAGGTGAAGCTGAAAGCCATGTCGCTATGCAGAAAATCAGCACAGTGCCATTCTGCACTTCCCAGTCATTACGGTGGTTGCTAATGAAACATCCTAAGAACTCAGAGAGGAAAGGTCACGGGGACTTGGCACAGCAAAGGCTTTTTGTTGCCGTGGGCCGAGTTTTCCCCTTGCACCCTCCCCCCAGCGCCACACCTGGGACAGCTGTGATGACACGAGTGCTGTGGAATTACACAGGTGGGGCCCGTTGCCACAGCTCCAGTGTGCAACGCGGAGCCTGTAGAAACACTGGTGCTGCCAGCGCGGGCCCCGGGGACAGCCTGCTGAGAACTGGCTACCTGGGGTGGGCACCAAGCCCATGGTTCACACAGCTGTTGCCGCCACTCCTGGCGGGAGATGGTGTCACCTGCAGTGAATGAGTCGAGCTCCCGGACCCAGCAAGGTGGGGCCGAAGCCTCCACAGCTGCTTACTGTAAATGCTCTGTGCTTTCCCTGGAGGGAAGGTGAGAGGTCTAAGGTGGGGACAGGACAGTTCCCTCAGCGTTTGTCCCGAGATGCGAAAAATCCACAAACTGTGGGAAAGCAGCAGTTCCAGAGACAAAGCCAACCTTCAGTCTACAAATCAACAGTCTGGGGCAGGCCTCCGTCACACACAGCGAAGCACGGAAGAGCCAACGTCTCTGTAGAAAGCACCTAGCACACGACCCAGAGAAATGTGTGTTCTAGATCCTTCTTCCCAGGAACAACACAGCCCTTGACCGCTTAGCTTTTGTTCCCTGATGTTATGCACTTGGTTTCAACGGCAAAGAGTTTCTGCCCCAGACAGCATAAGCCCTTTCCCTCTCGAGTCCGGTGCCGCTTCTGAGCAGTCTCCCTCCAGGCCTCCAGGCCTCCAGGCCTCCAGGCCTCCAGGCCTCCAGGCCTCCAGGCCTCCAGGCCTCCAGGCCTCCAGGCCTCCAGGCCTCCAGGCCTCCAGGCCTCCAGGCCTCCAGGCCTCCAGGCCACGCACACCTCGTCCTCCTCTGCTCACCATTCCTTTCAGCCTGGACCACCTGCAGGTCTCTCAGACACCGCAAGGGGCTTCCACGCGCCGCCTTCCCAGCCTCTCCTGCAAACTACCTTGGTCACAGTCTGCCTGCAGCAAAACGGGGCTCCGGGGACGACCCCAAAGGGAGGGAGATTCCTGCTCGCTCAGGCCGTGGGCAGGCAGAGTTGCTCTCACCAAAGCCCAGGCAGGCTTTAGGGAAGAGGCTTCTTGTGAGCTGACAGTTTTAGCAGTGAAGGAGCGGAGAACGGCTTGGCTGTGCGGCAGGCGTGGGAGCAGTGCCCTCCCCGGCCTGCCATGGGGCTGCCGACGCGCCGCAGCCTCCTACACCAAGAGCGGCGGTCTAGCCGCAGTTTCCCCTTTCCATGCATCCAGACGTGAACAAGCTGAGCGCACGTCCACGCACTCTGCTTCACAGGACACTGGGTGTTCCAGAGAAGACGCCCAGGCGAGGCGTGGTCTTGCTAATTCCAGTCCCACACAACAATAATGTGCTTTCCTTCACGTGGTAACCCCACAGTTCCAGTACTGCAGCAGCAAATTACCCCTCAGTTAAAGAAATCGTGGTCCGTGTTTTAAAACATCTTTAGAGATAAGTGAGCAAGCTCCCAGCACCACGTGCAGCTTGGGTAGGGCAGCTTTATGCCAATCCCAAAGGCTGGCAGTGGGGGCTGGGGATCAGGTTTTCTGGGGGAAGGGCGGAGTGCCCCCACAGTGCTTTCGCCCTTACCTCGCCGGCAAGTCAGCTAGCTTCATGGAGATGAACTCTGCAGGACTCACATTTTATTGGTCCCTGTGCACCCCATGGGTGTCACACACACACACACACACACACACAGTTGGTGCTTCATAAAGGAGGCTTTCAAAGCAAGTCAGGCAGGATGAGGCCAGGAGGTTTTGGTTCAACACAGTTGATCCAGAAGTTGGCACAGCTGGCGTGATACTGGTGTCCTCCATATGCCAGCTTGAAACTGTCTGTTTCGGAGTTGAATGCCTGCCAGAAATAGAAATGTGGGGCAAGTCAGGCTTTTCTGCATCTATGAGCTTACCAGCAATCAACAGAGACATCTCTCCAGGTCACAGAGCTGAGGCCCGAATGGCACACACAGAAGCTAAGCAGGTAGCTACAGAATTCAAGTGAGAATTTTTTTTTTAACCACTAAAGAAAGATTCAGAAAAAGCATCACCATTAGACTCCGTTTACGCGAAGGCGGCCAAGTCTCTCACAGAAAAGGCAGACGGGAGACGGGGAGGTGAGGGGAGTTCATGACAAGGGAACTGAACATAGCCGAGGGGAGTGGGTGATTTCACATCTCCCTGTGCTGAAAGGAGCCCTGGCCCGAGGCGAGGCCAGAGTCTGCCTAGAATGGCAATTCCTTCCATCTCTGTGGCTGAATGCGGCGCTATCATGAAAAATGCTCAAAGAAGGGATAACAGCGCTTAGGGTCAGAAGCCACTGGGAGTGAGCAACTGAATCCACACGATTGAAAAGTCCACAGAGGTTTGAGTTTGGAAAACGGAAGTGGACGATTAAACACGTGAGGACGATTTCCAGATGAGCAGCACTTGTAGGGAAACTCCAGGCAGCCAGAGAGCAGCAGTCCACGCCTCCACCGCTTCCCGAGGCTGGTCCTCTAAAGCACGGCCAGTAAACAAACAAAACTCAACAAGCCCAACAGGCTGCTTTGGTCCGTGACGGCCGAGCCCTGGCTCCGGACCCGTGTGAAAGGACAACTTCCCATCCTGCAGAAGCTGCTCTTCCCGCTCCCCCGTCCATCGCAGAGAAAAATGACTGCACCACGGAAGCCAGTTACAAGACAGGAGCATGCAGACCAGACAGACGAGGGCCCACGCACACGCTAACTGATTCAATCAGACAGTATGGGAACGAAAGTGACTCAGTGAAGAGGTCATGACTGGCACGATTCAGGATGGCAACAGAATCATCCGATTTGCCTTCCACACTCAAAAGTCAGATGGAGACGCTAAGGTAACGCGTAACTGGTTCATACTTTTTTAGGATGTTCTTCTGCAGGCTTCTCTTCTTTCTGAAATAACGTTGAAACCATAAGGTCAACAGAACTCCCACAAGAGGGCCTCTTGCCTCGTGCCAGGCCCTCCACGCTGAACCTTTGCTCTTGGCCACCCCAGTGCGTACAGGGAAGGCCCGCAGCCACTCCCCCCCTCCAGCGGCCCCCACTGCCCCCTGGAAAGGATGTATCTGTTCCCAGGCCGGCTTCCAGGACTCTCAAATCTGCGCCTCTCATCACAAAGCTTGCAGTGAAATAAGCGGGGGGGGGGGGGGGGGGCGTCCCCAAGGCGTCTTAGGGAGAAGCCTGCGACTCACCCGGCTCCTGGAGTCCACGTTTAAGAGGCACACCCCACAAGCAAGTTCCTGAGCGTTTTTAATCCCGGGCCGCAGCATACAGGAGGAAAAATCCAGCGAATTTTCATCTGGCTGTGAAGATAAGAACCCAGCAGTCCTGAATGCCGTCTGCTTCCCTCCCTGATCATTTCTCCCCAGCAAATCAAGTCTGTCTGATACACCAGAGAATTTCACTTCCCAGACACTGACCAAGTCCCTGCTGTGTGCTAGGCGTTAGAGATGCCAGCGCAGGGCAAACCTGTCTCCTGTGCTCTGGAAACTCACGGCCCAGGTGTGAGCGGGGTGGGTAACGGGCGATTTGGTACTCCGAGTGCCTAAGTAGGGGCAAGCGTGGGCGAGGCACGCAGCCCAACCCGAGGGAGGAGTCTGCAGCCAGGGAATGCTTCCGGGGTCTAGAGGAGTCTCCGAGAGTCCTGACAGGCACGTGCTAGGTGAAGGGGCTGGGGTCGGGCGAGGTAGGGGAGGGAAGGGTGTTCTTTTTATAAATGTTTTATTTTAATTTTTAACAGATTCAATATAGTTCATAGATAAATTTTTTTAAAGATTTATTTACTTGAGAGGCAGAGTTACGACAGAGGAAGAGACAGACAGTTGTTCTATCTGCTGGCTCACTCCCCAAATGGCCACAACTCTGGCTGATCTGAAGCCAGGAGCTCCTTCTGGGTCTCCAACGTGGGTGCAGGGGCCCAAGGACTTGGGCCATCTTCCACTGCTTTCCCAGGCCATAGCAGAGAGCTGGATTGAATAGGAGCAGCTGGGACTTGAACCGGCGCCCACAAAAGATGCCAGCGCTGCACACTGAAGTTAACCTACTGTGCCACAGCGCTGGCCCCCGCAGATACAACTCTAACAATAAAATGATATTCCCGTCCTTCCACCCTTGAGGGAAGGCCATTCTGTGCAGAACAGGCAGCACAGGCAAAGGCCTCCAAGTCAAAGGCTGGTACGGGAAGGAAGAAATGATGTGTCAGTAAGACATCTTGTATAAGAACGTGCATAGCAGAATTATTCCTATTAGCCACACTGGAATAGAACAGGTTCCTGCCAACAGGTAAATGGATAAACAAACTATGGTATGGCAATAGCATGGAAGACTACTTGCAACAGAAGAGTCAACCTGAAACAACATGGATGACTTTTTAAAACTTTATGCTAAGAAGCCAGAAATAAGAACACACAGTAAAACAGTAAAGTATGAGAGCAGGTAACGATGGTGACAGAAATTGGAGTACTGGTTGCGTCAGGAATTGGATGGGGGCTCACTGGGAAGGGACAAGAGGGAACCTCAGGGAGGAATGAAGATAGGCTCAAACCGGTGCCCATAAGGGAAGCCGGTGTTGCAGGTGGAGGCTTAACCTGCTATACCACAGCACCAGCCCCAAGAGTTGGATTCTTTTTTTAAACAGATTTATTTATTTATTTATTTGAAAGGCAGAGTTTCAGAGAGGCTAAGAGAGAGAGATCTTCCATCCACTGGTTCACTCCCCAAATGGCCACAATGGCTGGAGCTGTGCCGATCCAAAGCCAGGAGCTTCTTTCAGGTCTCCCACATGGGTGCAGGGGCCCAAGGACTTGGGCCATCTTCCATTGCTTTCCCAGGCCATAGCAGAGAGCTGGATCAGAAGAGGAGCAGCTGGGATTAGAACCAGCACCCATATGGGATGCTGGCACTGCAGGTGGCGGCTTTACTTGTTGCACTATAGCGCTGGCCCAAGAGTTGGATTCTTAATATAACGTTTTGGCACCAGTTCGAGGCCCAGCTGCTCTACATCTGATCCAGCTCCTTGCTAACGGCCTGAATAAGCAACAGAAGATGGCTCAAGTGCTTGGGCTCCTGAATCCATGTGAGAGACCTGGAAGAAGCTCCTGGCTCTGGATTGGTCCAGCTCCGGCCATCGTGGCCATTTGGGGAGAGAACCGGCAGATTGGACACCTCTCGCTGTCTCTTCCTCTCTTTTCTCTAACTCTCATATAAATAAATCTTTACAAAGCACACACACACACAAATCCCTAGACCAGTTTACTTGGCTTGTATTACACATGCCCTGGAGCTAAGTTTCTCAACTTTGACACCACTGACATTCCAGTTAGATAATTCTTTGTTGTGGGAGCCATCATCTGCATTTTAAGATGGTTAGCAGGATCCCTGGCTTCTGTAGGAGCAAAGTCACTCCTTCTCCCACCGAGAACTGACTTTTCCCAAGGAGAAGAAAAGTGTATACACACACACACACACACACTTATATGATCATCTTTCCTGTAAACGCTGTGGACTTAACTGATTCTCGCAGGAGACTTCCCCTGATTTGTGCCCAGCAGTTGGCTTCAGTCATGCTATGGTTGCTTTCAGGGATGAGTGTGGCTCTGGCATGAGCCCTGCATGATTGCATGTTAAAGATTCAAGGCCAGTAGCAAAGACATGGCTACAGGGCTTCACTTGTCTGCCAAAGGCTTGGCTGACTTCCTCCGCTGAATCAGATAGTAGTTCTTGAATATGGGACAATCTCTCTTGCACTTTTGTACTATTTACAAACTAAGGCTTCAGACACAACACACTTTTAAGTTTAATCTGCATTATTCACATTTTCTCCATCACTTTCTAAGTCTAGACAATCAGCAAAACAATAAACCAAGTGCCGCTTTGTAACACGCGCCAGCATCCACGCGGTCGGCGGATTCCGAGCTGCCACTGTGTGTTGCTGAGCCCAGAGTTCAGGAGGAGAGGCACAGTCCTATCGGTCAGCAGTAACTGCGCCCTAAAGATGGTTTGTCCAAAACTGTTCCGCCTCTACCCTGAGGAGCTCCCTCATCCCTGAGCAAACAGGGCCCGCTGGCTCCCTGTGATGAATAGACGTAAACCCCAAAGCTAGTTCATGGTAAAATGGAACAAAAGAATGAGAAAGCTGTATTTACTACCTGTTTTTAATATCATTTACTGAGCTGGAAACTTTTATCTTTTAATTTTATAATGGCTCTGTTGAGCAACTGTCTCACAAAATTCCTGAAAATTTAATAATCAGCTCTTGCAAAGCAGTAAGACCTGGATCCAACACCCCACTGTGACACAAGGACACTGTTGTAGGGGCCTGGAAGTCAAGGGGCTCCCCTGAGAGGGCCAATCCTCCCTCTAAAGCAGGAGCGAGCCCGTGACTGATGGTCTCTGTGGGCACCCGGTGGGTCGGGTGGGCATGTAGAAGGTAGCCGGCTTTACTGATCCAGGTGGGTTTTCTCTAACGAGCATACCTGCAGGCTATGTAGTGATGGTAAGCGAAAGGGTTGGATTCAGCAGGTGGAAAGGAAGTGAAGACAGAAAGGGGGTGATGGGAACCTTGTAAAAAAGGGGAAAAAAAAGATTCCAGCCTTGGCCGGCGCCGTGGCTCACTTGGTTAATCTTCCACCTGCGGTGCCGGCACCCGGGGTTCTAGTCCCAGTTGAGGCGCCGGGTACTAGTCCTGTTTGCTCCTCTTCCAGTCCAGCTCTCTGCTGTGGCCCGGGAGGGCAGTGGAGGATTGCCCAAGTGCTTGGGTCCCTGCACCCGCATGGGAGACCGGGGGCAGCACCCAGCTCCTGGCTTCGTATCGGCACAGCGCCAGCCATGGCAGCCATTAGGGGAGTGAACCAATGGAAAGAAGACCTTTCTCTCTGTCTCTCTCACTGTCTGTAACTCTGTCAAATAAATTTTTTTTTTTTTTGACAGGCAGAGTGGACAGTGAGAGAGAGAGACAGAGAGAAAGGTCTTCCTTTGCCGTTGGTTCACCTTCCAATGGCCACCGCGGCCGGCGCACCACGCTGATCCGATGGCAGGAGCCAGGAGCCAGGTGCTTTTCCTGGTCTCCCATGGGGTGCAGGGCCCAAGGACTTGGGCCATCCTCCACTGCACTCCCTGGCCATAACAGAGAGCTGGCCTGGAAGAGGAGCAACTGGGACAGAATCTGGCGCCCCGACCGGGACTAGAACCCGGTGTGCCAGCGCCGCTAGGCGGAGGATTAGCCTAGTGAGCTGCGGCGCCGGCCCTGTCAAATAAATTTTAAAAAAATTCCAGCCTGCTTAGAATTTAACTGCAGAGTTACACCGTATCACTGTGGCCTGAAACAGTGACTTTCAAAACAAACAAACAAACAAAAAATAAAACGGGGGAAAAAAACCACAGTTGTTCTGTCTCGAGAGCTGAAAACAAGAGCAGTGCAAGTGAAGCAGTCCAGTTTGGGCTCCGGAAGTGAGCGGCCTGCAGTGCAGCGTGCCCGCGCTGCAGTGTGATGGGTAACAGCCCAGCACGGGCACGCGAGTAGCAGCCCTGCAGCTCGGGTGGCCAAGGATCTGGGAGCCTGGCCTGCTGGCTGGTTTGTCCTCATGGATGTTGAAGTTATCTAGGATGCCATGATGGCCAATTCCGTCCAAGTAAGAGGTGCATTTTCTACAGGTATTCCCGAGGTGTCACCTCAGTGTTTTGATCATCCAAGTAAAAATGTATTATTTATATAAAAACAAAATGTCCGGGCCAGCGCTGTAGTGTAGCAGGTAAGGCCACCGCCTGCAGGGCCAGCGTCCCACATGGGCACCGAATCCAGTCCTGGATGCTTGCCAGCTCTCTGCTATGGCCTGGGAAAGCAGCAGATGATGACCCAAGTCCTTGGGCCCCTGCACCTGAGTGGGAAGACCCAGAGGAAGCTCTTGGCCCCTTATCAGCGCAGCTCAGGCCGTTGCAGCCAACTGGGGAGTGATCCAGCAGATGAAGACCTCTCTCTCTCTGCCTCTCCACTTTGCGGAACTCTTTCAAATAAATAAGTAGATAAATAAATAAATAAATAATTTTTTTTGAAAAAATCCCATGAACCAGCTCCACAAAGGTTCCTTAGGCAAACCTGAGCTGGATGCAGTGACACAGCTCAGGACGGAAGCAAATGGTATCAGCGTGGGGAAGAGGACTCTGGGCTGGGTGACGGAAGTAAACTTAGACGGCCATGGCCAGGTCCGGGCAGTTTTTCTTGTTCTCTTGTGAGTGCCATCAGGGCCACTTGGGGCTAAGGTAGAAGTGGTTGGTATTTCCACTTGCGTGCTCTCCAGCACTGTCA